TTAGAAGCAACTTCTCCAATCCTTATTGGGGGCCCCCTTCCACCCCCAGGCCCCATAGCAGCCGCATGGGCCGCTATGGCTATTGTTACACCACTGCTTCTGATGTAAAGGTGGGATCCTAGTGTGAGAGGGGTGTCTATGATGTGAAACAGGGAACTCTGATATGAAGTGGGAACTCTGATATGAAGGGGGGCTTCTAATATAACAGGGGGCTCCTAATAAAAAGGGAGGTTTCTGATGTAAAGAGGGCTCCTGCTGTAAAGGGGAGGATTCCTATGTCAAGGGGGGGATTCTAGTGTGAGAGGGGAGACTCTGATGTCAAGGGGGCTCCTGATGTGAAGGGGGGACTCAGATATGAAAGGGGGGACTCTTATATGAAGGGGGGCTTCTAAAATAACAGGGGGTTACTAATAAAAAGGGGGGGAGGGGGTTCTGATGTAAAGAGGGCTCCTGCTGTGAAGGGGAGGCTTCTGATGTGAGAGGGGTTACACTGATGTCAAAGGGGTTCCTGATGTGAAGGGGAGCCCAGATGAGAAAGGGGGGGACTCTGATATGTAGGGGAGGGCTCTGATGTAGAGGGGAGACTCTGTTTGAAATGGGGGCTTCTAATATAACAGGCGGGCTCCTAATGTAAAGGGGGTTTCTGATGTAACGAGGGCTCCTCCTGTGAAAGGGAGGCTTCTGATGTCAAGGGGGGATCCTAGTGTGAGAGGGGTGACTCTGATGTGAAGGGGGAACTCAGATGTGAAAGGGTGGGACTCTATGTAGGGGAGGGCTCTGATGTAGAGGGGAGACACTGTATAAGAGGGGCTTCTAATATAACATGGGGGGCTCCTAATGTAAACGCTGGGGTTCTGATGTAGAGGTGTGTGAAGGGGGACCTCTAATGTCAAAGGGTGGCTCCTAATGTGAGAAGGGGTGACTGATGTGAAAGGGGCTCCTAATGTAAACACAACATCTAAGTTGTGTTTACACCCCTTTAAAATCCAATCCAAACCACTCTCTCGCTTCTCGCATAAGGGTGTGGTTGGATTTTGGAGGGACCAAACCTCATGTTTTACATTCTAGACTGGAGTGCCTCAAGATTTATCATACTTTCAAAGTATGCCAGGACTGAAAAAAAGGTTGAAATACTTTGCCCTGGGGCACCAAAGGTTCCAAATCTTTGCTTCCCACCATCCCCAGGCATATCCCTCACTGTCCCCTATGGGTAAACCTAACCCCACCACATTTAAAAAGTGCAGATTGAGTTGCAATACTTGAGTTGCTCCCCCCCAAACCTACCACTCTGTGGTCCAGTGCCGGTGTTCTATCGAAAGCTCCAACTCATTGAGATCTCCAGCTACCTCACTACCGGTGCTCAGAAAGACTGGAGCGCCGTACAGTTGCCGCGCACGTTGCGCTTTCAGAATACTCCTCGAGTTTGCCACCTGCTGAATATTGTTACAGTGCAGCTGCGCAGAGCTCCGTCAGTGTTTTGGGTTTTCCAGTCTAACGCCGTCTGGTCGAAATCTCCAACTTGCAAATACCCGGCCGTGAAGTAGTTGGAGATTTCGACGAGTTGGAGCTTTCGATAGAACACCGGTCCTCAGCCAGGTTGATTGATGGCCAAGCACTATCAGGTCTTCCTGGGCTTACAGTACATCACCAGCATTGAGGCCTACCCACTGCTGGAAGTAACCGGGGCCATCAAATGTCTGGTCAGAGGACAGCAGGAAAAAAAAAAGGAATATATACAGAATATTTTAAAAATTACATACATTGAGGGACGGGCTGGAGTTGGGCTTTGAACTATTAAACTGTGATTGAATGGATTTCATCGTCCACAGTCCACACCTATACCCATACAAATTTGTACTTTAGGTTTGTATGCACGTTTCTTTAAAGTCCACTAATGAGCACAGGCGAGCACAGCAGAGCTGTGTAATGACCAGCAGATGGCGAGAGAGGTTCCAGGCTGGTTGTTACACTCTTACTTCCTTCTGGTGTTCCCCTCCTTCCTTCTAGAGAGCTTTGTATCTGCTGAATTGGCATTGTTGGGTAGGTGATGAGGATTCTGTGAACTGTTGGGGCAGTCAGGAGCCGTTGGCTCCTACTAGGCAAGCTCTTCTCCTCCAACAAAAAGGCGTGACTGCTTTTCCTCATCAGCTACTTCTAATATGGTCAAGGGGGGCTTCACTGTCACTTATTGACACCAGAAGACTCTACATTGATGGTCTATAAGAGCTTCCAATGTGCCCTCAAGCTCTTCAGATGACCAGAAGTCCATTCTCTGTAGACTGCTTGCCGGGCTCTGGTCATCGCACGGGCCTTCCATCCTGGTGACTCCTCAGATGTTGGACCAGGCTCTGCTTCTGCGTATAGCTTTTCCCACATTCCGTGCAGGAAAAGGGCCTCTCGCCCGTGTGAAGCCTCAGATGCCGGACCAGCTTGGTTTTTTCGGCAAAGCGGCGGTCGCACTCCGGGCACGGGTAAGGCTTGTCGCCGGTGTGGGTCCTCCGGTGGCGGACAAGGTACGATTTATACGGGAAGCATTTCCCACAGTCCGGGCACGGGTAGGGCCTCTCCCGCGTGTGGAAGACCTGGTGCTGGACAAGCCTGGCCCTGCATGGGAATGTCTTTTCGCACTCGGTGCAAGGGTACGATTGGTCGTCGGCGCGCGCCCTGGGCTGCTTTTGAAAAAGTTTTCGGCTCTTGGGCCCAGAGGACGGCTTTTCGTCCAGGTGATCCCTCTGGTGCGCGGCGAGCGTCGGCTCGTCTGTGAAGCATTTGCCGCAGTCCGTGCAGGAGAACGGCTTCTCGACCGTGTGGAGCCTCCAGTGGCGAAGCAGCTTGGATTTTTGGGCGAAGCGCCGGTCGCATTCCGGGCACGGGAAGGGCTTCTCGCCGGTGTGGCTTCGTAAATGGATGACGAGGTCCGTCTTCTGCACGAAGCGTTTTTCGCACTCGGGGCAAGGGAACGGCCGGTCCCCGGAGTGCAGCTTCTGGTGGCGCACCAGCCGGGGTTTGTGGGAGAACCGGCGGCCGCACTCGGAGCACTGAAACGGCTTCTCCCCCGTGTGGATCCGCCGGTGGACCGTCAGGTCCTTTTTGTCCCTGAAGCTCCGGTCGCAGTCCTGGCAGGCGAACGGTTTCTCGCCCGTGTGGAACCTCACGTGACGGGTGAGCTGGGACTTCTGCGAAAAGCTTTGACCGCAGTCCGAGCACCGGAAGGGCTTCTCGCCCGTGTGGACCCTCTGGTGGACCAGAAGGTCAGCCTTCTGGATGAAGCTCCTCCCACACTCCTGGCAAGCGAAGGGCTTTTCGGCCTGGTGCAGAAGCTGGTGGTGCAGAAGGGTGGATTTGTACAGGAACTGCTTGCCGCACTCCGGGCACTGAAACGGCTTGTTGGCCGTGTGGAGTTTCTTATGCCGGTTGAGGGCCACCTTGTTGGAGAAGCATTTTTGGCACTCGGGGCACTGAAGCAGCTTCTCGGCCAAGTGAAGCTTCTCGTGGCGGACGCGTTCCGCGTTCTGGCCGAAACATTTACCGCATTTGGAGCAGGGGAAAACCTGCCCGCTGGCATGGCCCATGCCGGGTAGACCAACATCTACAGAAGCTTCTTCAGGATTGGAAGGATCAGCTGACCTGATCTCCCAGTGGGGGGATTCTCTTGGGGTCTTTAGTCTGTTGTCACTGTATTCGGTTTTACAATCGAGATGTTCCCCCGATGTTCTCCTGATGTAGAGTCCATCTGATGGGGAGTAAAATGAATGTTAATAAAAGTGGAGAGCGCTAACAAAAAGCAAGCTGCGTAACGATCGACCTGGAACCTTCGCCCTCTGCTGGTCATTACAGAGCACTGCGGCTAAGGTAACTCTTGTGCACACCTTCTCTCATTAGTGGACATTAAACCGAGACAACAGCTTGAAGCCCAGGCCTGATCAACAGGTTTGTTTGTTGGGGGTCTATCTGTCTCTGACTTCTGTCTGGCTGTCTATTCCGTTGATTATTCCTATGTATTATCAGGACTTTGTGTGAACTCAGCTTGCCTGAGCTTTTCCTAATCATTGGCCTGTTACCTTCTGACTTCCCATCATTGCTTTGCTTACTCTGGAACCTGGACTCCATTTGCCTGTGCCTGACCTGGCCAATGCTAACCATCTGTCTGAGCACATCTCCAGTGTCTGTCCTGCCTATTGCCCCTGGCAACACAGAGGGTCTACAGAACTGTGACAAGCTGTGACTGACCAAATAATGGGAGGAGAGCCAGGTCCCACCAAGGGTTGGTGGGTCCTGAGGGCCCTCGTCCCCCAAGAAAGTGAACAAGGAGACTCGGTGAATGTTTCTGGACTTGGTGTTTTATTCCTCACCTGTGCTGATCTCTGTAGGGATTTCCTCCTCCTTCACCATCACGGGTGTGATCTCCCCTTCTTCTGCTTCCTCCTTAATCTCAACTTTGATATCAATCAGGTTTTCTTCCTGTACGGTGGACAAGACACAAGGAGAATCAGAATATAGGATCCAAAACTCTTCTCTCCAGATCATACGGTGCACTTCATCGGAAACCCTCAGGACCACCTACCTGATCATGGTGAGGGATCTCATGATGTTCCTGTGCGGAATCCCGGGAATATAGAAGGGCCTGAGGGATCTCATGATGTTCCTGTGCGGAATCCCGGGAATATAGAAGGGCCTGAGGGATCTCATGATGTTCCTGTGCGGAATCCCGGGAATATAGAAGGGCCTGAGGGATCTCATGATGTTCCTGTGCGGAATCCCGGGAATATAGAAGGGCCTGAGGGATCTCATGATGTTCCTGTGCGGAATCCCGGGAATATAGAAGGGCCTGAGGGATCTCATGATGTTCCTGTGCGGAATCCCGGGAATATAGAAGGGCCTGAGGGATCTCATGATGTTCCTGTGCGGAATCCCGGGAATATAGAAGGGCCTGAGGGATCTCATGATGTTCCTGTGCGGAATCCCGGGAATATAGAAGGGCCTGAGGGATCTCATGATGTTCCTGTGCGGAATCCCGGGAATATAGAAGGGCCTGAGGGATCTCATGATGTTCCTGTGCGGAATCCCGGGAATACAGAGGACGGGGACATCTCTCTGGTGGGTTCCTCTTACTGGATCCAGCTGTAGGAAACACACACACTGACTGAATACATTGTCTCTATGTGTGTATCAGATGATGGGGGATCTAGGTGGACCCTCCGTACTGCTCTCTCCTCTTACCCGGTGATGTGAGGAGTGGCTCATTCTCCATCATGACTTCCTTCTGTTCCTCCGAATTCTTCCATCCCTACATGGAGAAATAGACAGAGACATCCTGACACCTTATAGGAACCTGACACACACAATGATACAGTCACCATCCAGACACATCCCTTGTCTGTTCCTGGATCATGTCCCAGAATTCCCAGCACCGCTCACCTCTCCCGTCAGCAGCTCAATCATCTTGTTAATGACTTCTAGAATCCTCTTGTTGTTCTTTTCATGCATTATGGTAGGAAATGGGGTCTCCATAACGTGTTTCCGGCGCCTTTCTTCTGACACATTCTGTGACCTGGTCTCAGCAGAAGTCTCCTTCGCCAGTCTGTAAACCTGTTTGGAAAGCAGATAAGAGTGATGTCATGTGACCTCCCAGAATCCTCCTCACCTCTCCGGTCAGGTCTGTGTCTTATTAATAGAGATAAGAGTGATGTCATCTGACCTCCCAGAATCCCCCTCACCTCTCCGGTCAGCAGGTAGATGATCTCCATAGTCAGGTCTAATATCTTCTCAGCCACGTGCCTCTGATCCTTGTCCATCACGAGCATCGGGAAAACTCAGTCCGCTTCCAATGGACTCTACAAAGGGGAACATGGAGATGTATCAATGTTCATACTGTATGCGGGGTGATATGGTCTCCAAGGCATCAATAACCAAGATTTGAATGAGCCCCTTTCTATTCAATAACAGCCACAAACCTGAATGCCAAAGGTCAGCTCCTGAAGTTTTATAACATCAATCCTATATAAGAAGTGCATTACCTCTTCTATGGTGGATAGAGCACAAACCTAGCACATCAGTCCTTAAAAAAAATATATATATATATTCTATGTCTGCAACAAAGGAGGGGATACTGGAGGTGCAGTGCATTCTGGGAAGGATAGAGCTTAGGGGACACTGGGAGCTGTAGTCCTTCACCCAGGTAGGATATCTTTTCACAACAAGCTTTTGGACCACAGCAAAATGGTCGCCAAGTTTTTCCAGCCTAACAATGATAATAACAACAATAATCTATTGATAATAGATCTGTACTGTTATAGCAAAGAAGCTCACGAACAATTTTATGTAGAATTCCTATATCTTCTATTTGTTTTTCTATAAACAGAAAGCCGTGGGCTACAACAAAATGGCCGCGGTTCTCGCATAGACGCCTCAGAGCTGAGTGGCGCACCGTATAACGAGGGGCGTGGCCGTGGTGGAACGCACAACACGGAAGTAGAGTGCGGAATTGTCCTGTCGGGTGAAACGCAAAACCAGGAAGTAGCGTGCGACGTCTTTCTGCGAGGTGGAACGCACAACCAGGAAGTGGTGGAATCTTTTTCCGGGTAAGGATTGATGAAGAAGAGACCTTGAAGTTCCTGGCAATAAGGGTCACACTGTCACAGTGCTGCACTTGTCTGCCGTGGAGACAAATTAGGATTTATAGTGTATAGTTGGCGTTATTAATGACTTATAATATTGTTATAACCTTTTGTCATTGAAAATGCAGTTACCTAGTAAGGTGTTACTCTTAAAGGGGAAGTACACATAGCTGGGGGGTTTTCATTTTTGCAGTGCTTACCTTGAAATAGTTTTTCAGTCTCATTCACACTGGAATCAGTGTAGCTCTGTGATGTGTGCAGGGCCGTATCGGCAGCTCCCGGGAAGGACGGGTGCTGCGTGTGATTAGTACGCAGCCCCCGTCCTTCTCTATGGGACTACGCGGCCGTGCAGGTCCACAGGGCTGCGTTTTTCTTGGCTCGGACGCAGACAGGATCCATCCTGTCAGCGTACGAGTACGGACACGCGCAACGGCACGGACGTGCAGGGCGGGTGAGCGTACGGCCGCGTAGTCCCATAGAGAAGGACGGGGGCTGCGTACTAATCACACGCAGCACCTGACCTTCCCGGGAGCTGCCCGATACGGGCGTCCACGCAGCACGGAGCTGTACGTGCCGGACGATTCCTGTGTGAATGAGGCCTTCAAGTCATTTGAATGCATCATCCCCCCCGTCATCAAACCTTTCATCACAAGTAAGAATCGCCGGCCCTGGGATTTACACTGCACAGCCCAGACAGACAGCCTGCTTTTCCTCTGCTGCAGTCAAGTAACTCTTTCAGCTCTGGCCCCTCCCCCAACCTGTGACTGGACAGCGAGAGGAGAAGCAGCAGACTGATGAGCTCACCTCGCTTGCACTCGGCTCCCTCCTCCTTTCAGCATGCTCCTTTTTACTGCAGTTGACTCCTCGTGCTGCTTCTCTCTCCCCCCTTTCTAAGCTCTGCTGTACATGGAGACTGATACCAGGTCAGATTCCGGCATTTACAATGATTGCATTAAGGAGCTGTATTCACGTGTGCCTTTTATATTTACTGGGTGCTGCGCACTTGAGCTGTGCACTGCGCCGATCACTTGCTTGATTAGCTGTGCAATCTGCTGGTCAGTTGCTTGAGTACAATCCAATAGAGTGTAGTGAAGCAACTGATCAGCAGATTGCATAGCTAAGGTGTGCAGCCCCCAGCCAGGGACAGTACGGATCAGGAGGAGAGGGAGCTTGATGATGATTGAAGGCAGACAGGAAGTAAAGACCGGCTCATGACAGCTTCTTCTTCCTGCTCAACAGATTTCCAATAATCAATAAAAAGACATTCCTTCGTTGTGTATATTTTTAATACTCGGACGTCTCACATACAACATCAATGACACCACTAAGACGAGGAAGTGATCAACTGTGAGTGAAGATGATGGGGTCGCCCCGGATGACGTGCAGGAGTGTCACATGGGCTGGATAAAAGGGGAGAGACGAGGAAGTGATCAACTGTGAGTGAAGATTGGGGGTCCCCGGATGACCTGCAGGAGTGTTACATGGGCCAGAATTCAGGGGAGGAAGTGATCAGCTGTCAGTGAAGATGATGGGGGTCCCCGGATGACGTGCAGGAGTGTCACATGGGCCGGATAAAAGGGGAGAGAAGAGGAAGTGATCAGCTGTCAATCAAGATGATGGCGCCGCCCCCCGAATGATGTGCAGGAGTGTCATATGAGTCGGCTAGCTGGGGAGCCATTTGACCCTCAGAGCTGCAACGCATGACATGCAGGAGTGTCACATGGGCGGAATACAGGGGAGAAAGGAGGAAGTGATCAGCTGTCAGTGAAGCTAAAGGGGGTCGCCCCGCATGACGTGCAGGAGTGTCACATGTGTCACAATACAGAACAGAGGAAGTGTTCAACTGTCAGTGAAGATGAAGGGGGTCCCCGGATGACGTGCAGGAGTGTCACATTAGCCGGAATGCAGAGGAGACAAGAAGGAAGTGATCAGCTGTCATTCAAGGTAAAGGGGGTCTCCGCATGACGTGCAGGAATGTCACATGGGCCGGAATACAGGGGAGAAAGGAGGAAGTGATCAGCTGTCAGTGAAGATGATGGGGGTCCCCGCATGACGTGCAGGAGTGTCACATGGGCCGGAATTCAGGGGAGAAGGGAGGAAGTGATCAGCTGTCAGTCAAGATAAAGGGGGTCGCCCCGGATGACGTGCAGGAGTGTCACATGGGCCGGAATACAGGGGAGAAAGGAGGAAGTGATCAGCTGTCAGTGAAGATGATGGGGGTCCCCGCATGACGTGCAGGAGTGTCACATGGGCCGGAATTCAGGGGAGAAGGGAGGAAGTGATCAGCTGTCAGTCAAGATAAAGGGGGTCGCCCCGGATGACGTGCAGGAGTGTCACATGGGCCGGATTATGGGGAGAAAGTGATCAGCTGTCAGTGAAGATGATGGGGTCTCCGCATGACGTGCAGAAGTATCACATGAGGCGGCTAGCTGGGTAGTCATATGACCCTCAGAGCACCAATAGGCTTTGTGCGGCTCCAGGCAATGAACACAAGCACACTACGTGCAGGATGCATCGTGCTGTGGAGCAAATCTCCATCCATCTCACCCACCCATTATAGAGCACATGACCGAGGTCAATGTGCACATAAAAAGCTATACATAGTAATTCCAAGGCTGCGATTTATGGACCAACGGGCACTGTCCATGAGTGTAAGCATGTGCAAATGTTTTATGTGTACTTTACCCACACGAGTCTCTCAATTGGCGAGCGAGGCCTCTAATGAGTGGCCTCTCTGGTGTATATGAAGGTGGGAGCTGCGGGTGAAGCGCTTCCCACACTCGGAACAAGAAAAAGGTCGTTCCCCGGTATGAGTTCTCTGGTGACTGATCAGCACCGATTTCTGGTTGAAGCATTTCCCACACTGTGAGCAGGAGTACGGCTTCTCTCCCGAATGGATTCTCTGGTGAACGGTGAGGTGAGTGCTGCGGGCAAAGCTCTTCCCGCACTCACAGCACATGTAGGGCTTCTCCCCGGAATGAGTCCGTCGGTGTTTGCCCAGGGAGGTCTTCTGGGCGAAGAATTTCCCGCACTCGGGACAGGGAAAGGGTTTCTCTCCCGTGTGAACGCGCTGGTGCTTCATGAGTAGCGAATTCTGGTTGAAGCACTTCCCACACTCCGGACAGGAAAAAGGCTTCTCGCCCGTGTGAATTCGCTGGTGCCGGACAAAGGGGGACTTGCTGGTGAAGAACTTTCCGCAGATGGGGCAGGAATAAGGCTTCTCCCCCGTGTGGGACCTCTGATGGATGACCAGGAGGGACTTCTGGCCAAAGCCCTTCCCACAGTCTGTGCACACAAAGGGCTTCTCTCCCGTGTGCGTACGGTGGTGCAGAATGAGGTTGGTGCTGCTGGTGAAGCTCTTCTCGCACGTCAAGCAACTGTACGGCTTCTCCCCCGAGTGAGTCCTCACGTGTTTGATGAGCGACGACTGCTGGGCAAAACACTTTCCGCACTCCGGGCATGAGAACGGCTTCTCCCCCGTGTGGACCCTCTGGTGCGTTATCAGGAGGGACTTCAGAGGGAAGGACTTCTTGCACTCGGGGCAGGTGAAGGGCTTGGGCCTGGTGTGGATACGCTGATGTTTAACCAGCTGTGCTTTCTTGGCGAAACACTTTCCGCACTCCAGACAGATGAGAGAATGGGGCCCCTTGTACACCAGCTGGTGTTTGAGGAGGTCGGAGCTGCTGGCGAAGCTTTTCTTGCACCCATCGCAGCTGAAAGCCCTCGTCTCTGCACCTTCCCGCACGCGCCTATCTTCGGCCTCGCCCGACCACGGGACCGTATGGGCGGAAGGATCCCCCTCGTCCTCCGAAAACGATTCCTCTTTAATGCAGATGGATAAATAGTCCGACTCGTGATCGTCCTCGCCGGACTCGTCCTTGATGTGACCAAGCCTTGTGTGGCCCTCAACCTCGGAGACATCAGCATTTCCCGGCAGGTCACAGTCCAGGAGATCATCTTCAGAGTCAGACTCCTTCTTGATGTGGACCGTTGTGTATTCTAGTTCTGCATCAAAGTCCCCGTCTGAGGGGCTTCCTTCCCGCTTCACATCACGGGAGGCCCGTTGTTTCTGGGGGCCCTTGTGTACCTCTGCATTACATAAATATATCGGTGTTAGAATCACACTCTAGTAAAACCTAGAAGGGGGGAAGGCTGCTAGATCTGAGCAATGCATTGTGGGAGGAGGTCTCATGCTCCTTCTACAACGTGAGGCCACCTAGGGCAATGCATCATGGGAAGAGGTCTCATGCTCCTTCTACAATGTGAGATCACCTAGGGCAATGCATCATGGGAAGAGGTCTCATGCTCCTTCTACAACGTGAGGCCACCTAGGGCAATGCATCATGGGAAGAGGTCTCATGCTCCTTCTACAACGTGAGGCCACCTAGAGCAATGCATCATGGGAAGAGATCTAATGCTCCTTCTACAACGTGAGGCCACCTAGGGCACTGCATCATGGGGGGAGTTCTCATGCTCCTTCTACAACGTGAGGCCACCTAGGGCAATGCATCATGGGAAGGGGTCTCATGCTCCTTCTGCAACGTGAGGCTACCTAGGGCAATGCATCATGGGAAGAGGTCTCATGCTCCTTCTACAACGTGAGGCCACCTAGGGCACTGCATCATGGGAAGAGGTCTCATGCTCCTTCTGCAACGTGAGGTCACCTAGGGCAATGCATCATGGGAAGAGGTCTCATGCTCCTTCTACAAGTGAGGTCACCTAGGGCAATGCATCATGGGAAGAGGTCTCATGCTCCTTCTACAAAGTGAGGCCACCTAGGGCAATGCATCATGGGAAGAGGTATCATGCTCTTTCTACAACGTGAGGCCACCTAGGGCAATGCATCATGTGAAGAGGTCTCATGCTCCCTCCTGGTATGGAAGTGTGCCTACAACCTCATGGCTGTGCATCTGCAACCTGAGGTCACCTAGAGCAATGCAGCCATCGACTGCTCCTTGTTCTCCTGGCTGGAGGTTCCGACCTGAGGAAGCATAGCCCTGCCTCTACCAAGATGGCTGCCTCCAGAAGAAGGCATGGTAAGTCAATAATGGGGGAGATCAGCTTCAGGGAGACCACAAGCACTGCTGGTGACCACTCCTTTGCCCTCTGCCTGGCTATTTGGGGTGCAGCTTCCAGAGTTGAGGTCTTCTTTAAGGGAACAGGTCACTTGCTTAGAGTTTTTTGCCCAGGTGGTCTAACCCGTGATCACTAATCTGGTCCGAATTCATCTCATGCAACGCCGTTCCTGATCCCTCCCACCCGGCGTGCTATAGTCTACAATGCTTCAGATGGCACTACTGTACACACTCCATGTAGCTTCCATGTTCCCTCTACTCTCAGCTCCTCGGCTGACCTCCTGTCCACCTTACAAGCTCTTGTTTTGACATGGAGCCCTCAGCATGCAACCCCTCAGGCTCCAGAAAGAGATCTTCCCCATGGTACAACCCCTTGACTTGATCCGTCATGGCAGTGATCAGCTACAACGGCCCAGTGTTCCCTTCCCATGTACAGAAACCTTGACGTACCCATTGATGTGAGAAGCAGCCGGTCCTTCGTCCTGATGTCCTTCCGGGGTGACTTATGTTCCTATCAAGAGAGGAACCACAGAGACGTCCTGACACACAATGATACAGTCACCACCCAGACACATCCCTTGTCTGTTCCTGGATCATGTCCCAGAATTCCCGGCACCGCTCACCTCTCCTGTCAGCAGCTCAATGATCTTCTCGGTGACTTCTAGAATCTTCTTGTTCTTTCTGCCAGGTGTCAAGGAGTGTCATGGGGCTCTGTCCATCACCAGATGTCTTCTTCACTGCTACGTAATCCTGCATAGATACATACGTTTAGATATAAGTGATGTCATGTGACCTCCCAGAAACCTCCTCACCTCTCCGGTCAGGTCTGTGTTTTATTAATAGTGGTGTCATGTGACCTCCCAGAATCCTCCTCACCTCTCCGGTCAGGACTGTGTTTTATTAAGAGTGATGTCATGTGCCCTCCCAGAATCCCCCTCACCTCTCCGGTCAGGTCTGTGTTTTATTAATAGAGATAAGAGTGATGTCATGTGACCTTCCCAGAAGCCTCCTCACCTCTCCGGTCAGGTCTGTGTCTTACTAATAGAGATAAGAGTGATGTCATGTGACCTCCCAGAATCCTCCTCACCTCTCCGGTCTCTGGTAGGTGATCACCAGGGCGAGATGTATGATGTTCTTCTCAGTCATGTGACTCCGGTCTGTCCCCATATGCTCAGGGTATCAGCAGCTGATCCTTACACTCCCTGTCAGAGTTTCCCGGCAGCGTGGCGCACCCATGGCTCATCGGGATGGACAGGAAAATGCCTATAAATGGAAGATAAAGCAAACAGAGATATATTATTATTATTATTGTATCACCTATGGAAAGGACAAGGGTCCATAGAATGATATCACATGGCTGTCCTCTGTATCCAATCATATAAACATTATATTGATCTTCAGTCAATTATTACAATATATTCTCCTACCCCAAATAATTCCAGCTCACACCCAGACCAACCAAATGTCTCCCACTTTCCAGGCTCCTCCCAGCTCCCAAAGGCACTTCCGGGTTCTTGCGTTCCACTAAGCCTGCGCTCACTTCCTGCATCTATAACCAGCGCTCAGCGCCCCCATCTAGCGGCCGCTTTTGCTAACTGCACCTTTTCGCCCATAGGGATTATGAGTGAGGACTCGAGCGCCCTCTGGCGGCCGCTAGTGGAAGCGCCTCCCGCAGTATCAAATGTATAGGGGCCGGTGATCGATCAAAACTACGAACTTATCGAGTTGTGGGACCGCATTACTTCCGGTTTCCTCAGAACTACGAGGTTTTTACACAAAACATGTTGTGCACGAGCGCCATCCACGGCATTGCCCTATAGACATAGACCACAGCAATAAAGTAATAAAATGATGTAGGATGACAGTAAGCCAGCGCGTTCTTTAGCTCAGGTGCCCCACTCAAGCGGCGGCCATATTGCGTGGGGCACCGGAGATAAAGAACGTGCTGGCTTACTGTCATCCTACATCATTTTATTACTTTATTGCTGTGGTCTATGTCTATAGGGCAATGCCGTGGATGGCGCTCGTGCACAACATGTTTTGTGTAAAAACCTCGTAGTTCTGAGGAAACCGGAAGTAATGCGGTCCCACAACTCGATAAGTTCGCACTTTCGACACATCACCGGAAGTGAGAGTGGAACGCAGAACCAGGAAGTAGAATGGAACGCAGAGAATTAGCAGGAAGTGACATTTTTTTTAAAGCAGGAAGTGGGTGGGGTTAAGAGGAGTTTGGGGAGACTTGTGTGTGTGGGGTCTCATTGTTTGGGGGCAGAAAGGTATCCTAGGGGGTTCTTGTGGGTTATGTGTTGGGCAGACATGTATCTCTGATGTTCAGTGTAATATTTATATCTCTTATACATATTATGCTTTATACTGCACAACTCAGATACAATGTCTGTCATTTATTTGGCATTTTTTTTTCTTCCCGATGTGGCATTTTCACAGGTGCTTCAACCGTCACGGCGACGCCAGATGGTGGTGAGACGAGAATCGCCCAGGACATCCGCTGATCTGCAGAGGATGGAGATGGGTGACGGCAGTGAGCTGGCTGAGAAGATCTTAAACCTGACTATGGAGATCATCCACCTGCTGACCGGAGAGGTGAGGAGGATTCTGGGAGGTCACATGACATCACTCTTATCTCTATTAATAAGACACAGACCTGACCGGAGAGGTGAGGAGGATTCTGGGAGGTCACATGACATCACTCTTGCTCTTTCAACAGATATTGAAAAAGTCTGATGACCACGTAACAATCAAAGTGCCTCCAACTCACTTCCTGGTCCTCAAGAGGAAGGATAAGATTCTGGAAGTCGCCAAGAAGATGATTGATCTGCTGGCGGGAGAGGTGAGCGGTGCCGGGAATTCTGGGACATGATCCAGTAACAGACAAGGGATGTGTCTGGATGGTGACTGTATCATTGTGTGTGTCAGGTTCCTATAAGGTGTCAGGATGTCTCTGTCTATTTCTCCATGGAGGAGTGGGAGTATCTAGAAGGACACCGGGATCTCTACAAGGACTTCATGATGGAGGATCAGCCGCCCCTCACATCACCGGGTAAGAATTCATGACTTTTGTACTTACAAGAGACATGAGAGGGAGGTCTGGGTGAGACCAGTGTGTGACATTCCTGGAAGGAACAGGTTTATAATGTAGATGAATGCAAGTGGAACTCCTACTTGGAAACACCAAGTCACACTCTTTTGACCTTTCAATGTAGTGAGTAGTAGTTTTTACTAAAGCCCTTCAGCATTAAGTGGGTGCCTGGTGGCTATCAACAACCTGGTTATCACAAGCAGAACCCCTTATTTTGAGGACCACTTATGGGTTGTTTCTGACACCTTTGTTAGAAGGTCACCATGTTGGCCAAGGCTGAACCCAACATCCCGCACCTTGATGTAAGCTGCTAGATCAGGAGAGCCAATCTTGAAAATGTATCAAAGGCTTTCCACCCTTTGAGGACTTCCCTTGGTGGTGGCCTCTAAAGTCTGGGGGTAACTTTAGTTTCTGCCCCTTCCCCCGCCTCAGTGAATTGGCAAACGGGTCTATTAGATGTAGAAACAAGTAAATCGCCACTATGGTCACCATTATTGGAACAAAGAACTATGGATGCTCCGATACCGAGTACTCGTACTCGCCCAAATGCTCCGATACCGGAACTTCTGGTCAGAGGAAGACTTCCTCTGACCGCCAGTGCCGTAGGGAAACATGGAGCCGGCTTCCCGTGCGACCAGGAAGCTGAACCGCCTCTGGGCTTCCTGATTGGCCGGGAAGCCGGCTCCATTCTGATCGGCCAGGAAGCTGATCAGAATGGAGCCGGCTTCCTGGCCAATGAGCATTGAGTGGGCCGAACAGCTGCCTCGATGCTGATTGGCTGTGAAGCCGGCTTTCCAGCCAACCAGCATATGGTCATTACTCGTCCCATGGTTTCCTGATTGACCAGGAAGCTGGTTTCCCAGCCAATCACAATCAAGCTGGCCAAATAACATGGAGCCGGCTTCCCGGGCAGTGAGAAATGATGACCCGGCTTTCTGATTGGTCAGGAAGCCGGCTCCATTCTTATTGGCCAGGACGCCAGCTTCCCGGCCAATCAGAATGGAGCCGGCTTCCCGGCCAATGAGCCCCGAAAATGCCGGCTCGATGCTGATTGGCTGTGAAGCCGGCTTTCCAGCCAACCAGCATGGTCATTACTCGCCGCCTGATTTCCTGATTGGCTGGGAAGCCGGTTTCCCAACCAATCACAATCAAGCCGGCCAAATAACACGGATTCGGCTTCCCGGGCAGTGAGGAGTAATGACGAGTAATGCCCCGACTTCCTGATTGCCTGGAAAGGCAGTTCCATGCCAGTGGATGCACCGGTTATCGGCGAGTACCGAAAGCAAAATATCGGTACTCATACTCGGTACTGAAAAACCGGTATCGGTGCTTCCAAAGAACTTTCATATAGGGGAGTAACAAGGAGGAGGCACCGTGAACAAGCTGGTAACCCCCATGCCTTTGTACTCAACAGGTTTAGCCGAAAAGGCCGAGACACTACAACCACGCCGCCCTATAAGGAAGGCGTCGGGCTCGAAACAAGATGGCGCTGGTGGGCCCCGTAGAACTCAAAACCCATCACCAGTTAACAAGGGTTCTCGTATAAATGCCCGTGTCACCGGGCGCAAAATAATGATCCACCCGACTTGTCCATCAATACCACCATCGGAGAGGACGACCCAGGGGGATGACGAGTGCAAAAACACCCTCACTGGCAACTCCGCCCCCCTTCGAGACCAACCGAAGGACAACGGGCCTCGTTACCCAGCCCGCTTGGGTGGTGGAACATTTGAAGGCAACAAGGGGAAGCTGGAGAACCATCAGAAGGCCCATACTGGTCGGAAGCTGTACTCGTGCCCCGAGTGCGAGAAGACTTTCCGGGTAAGGTCACAGCTTAAAAGGCACCAGAAGGTTCACACCGGGGAGAAGCCGTTCTCATGCAAGGACTGCGGGAAGAGTTTTAGGGAGCGCTCGACGCTGAAGAGACACTCGTGGACTCACTCCAAGGAGAGGCCGTTTCCGTGCAAGGAGTGCGGGAAGTGTTTCACGGAGAAGTCGATGCTCAAGAGGCACTCGCGGTCTCACACCAAGGAGCGGCCGTACTCTTGCCCTACGTGCGGGAAGAACTTCCTTCGGAGGAGCAGCCTCCTTATTCACCAACGGATTCACACGGGGGAGAAGCCCTACGTGTGCTCGGAATGCGGGAGGGGTTTCAACCAGAAGTTCGACCTGAAGAAGCATCAGATTGCTCACACGGGGGAGAAACCGTTTCCCTGCGAGGAGTGCGGAAAACGCTTTTCGCAAAAGCGGTCCCTGGTGCTGCACAAGCAGATTCACACGGGGGAGAAGACCTACGTGTGCACGGCGTGCAATATGCGCTTTTCCAGCCGCTTGCTCCTCGTCGTTCACAAGACGGTTCACTCCGGTGAGAAACCGTATCGGTGCTCGGAATGCGGAAATTGTTTTTCCCGGAGGTCGCACCTCATCACTCACCAAAAACTCCATTCCGGGGAGAAGCCCTTTGCCTGCTCCGAGTGCGGGAAGAGCTTCTCCACTGACTTCGGTCTTCAGTCTCACAAGAAGATTCA